ATAGAGAACTCTTTTGCTATTATAAATGCATTGTATATGGCAGGATTCTTCTTGATCAAATACATATGACTATAATCTGTTCAAGATGAACGTCACATTGGGTAGCACTTGATACATCATAATCACTAAAAGCTATCATTATATGTTCATATATATTTAATAGGAATGTACCATCCAAAACATAAAACGTTGCTCAAGTTTTTCGTCTTCTATAAATGCATATGAAGTGATTTTAAATGTCTTGTTGTATTTGAACACCAATGCTCAATCGATCAGAGCTCATGATAACTATAGATAGAGCACTCTAGAAACTACGCGCAAACAACAATACTGATGTAGAAATGTTTTTTTGTTGTTGTTAAATAAAATCAGTCTCGAAACTTTTTTGAACAATGCTCGTATGAACTGATATTTTTATTTTTATTGAACTTTTATTACTTGAAATCAGCTAAAATAACACAATAAAACTGTTCATCAGAATATTATATAACTTGATATTGACATTGCTTTATTTATAGTATATCTATAATAACAGTCAAGTTAAGTATCTTCTAAAATATTATAGATAAACATAAGTATGTTATTTATACAATTCGTGATTAGTTATGTAAGCAGAAGTAATAATTGGTGATGCCCTCGCAAAGTTTTCGATACGGATTTTGTTTTTTTAACTATTTTCTGTTTTAAGAGAAATTTAGAAAAGAAAAAAAAAAAGAGAGAAAATGATAGTAGAGAACGTAATGATAAGAAATTAGACAAGAATATCCGTGAAAACCGATCCTGAATGTCGTAATTTTTTTAAAGAAATCTAGTATCAATTTTCATATCACGACGACAGCGATTTACACCGATATTTTTCATCTAGTCATGTAATAGAAACTTTAGTTAGGTCCTCTTTTTTTTTTCTTATTTTCGCACATCAAAGATACAATTTGTAAAATAGGGCATACTTATAAATAAACGAACAATTTAAGTTTAGTTTTTTTTTGCTTCGATTATTATTTCTTTTCAACGGTAGAAAACGTCGATCGTTTTGAAGCTGTTGGTCTTATAAGATTCGATGATAGAATTGAATTTATAAGATCAGGATTAGGCGGAAGTATAGAACGTGATGATGGCATAAGTGGCTGTCGTTTTATAGCGTTTTTCGATATTTTAACTGTTTGATTAATTTTTGTTTGTTGTGGTAAATTTGTTATTGAACGAGATTGTTGTTGTTGTTGTTGTTGATGATGATGATGATGCATTGGTACTAATGTTCTATTATGTTGTACTGTTCGAGAATGATTTTCATGTTTCACTGTTGGATGATGAATTTGTGATTGAATAATAACATTTGATTTTCGATTTGTTGATGATAATTGTTGTGAAATTTTCGAAGTTAAATTATGTGGTACAGAATTTTTTGTTTTTATTATTTGATTTTGATGATTAGTTGATGGAATATTTGTTGTTAAAGGTTTTGATGAAGAAGATAATGATGATGATGATGATAATCGTGATGATGTTTTCTGTTGTTTCATAAGTGCATTAAAATGTTTATCAATTTCTTTTTCTTTTTCCATAGCTGATATAAAAACATTTTTTAATAATGCTGAATGATCAGATTTTGCAGTTCGTCGAATAATTTGTTTTTTACAACGATCACATAAAATAGTTATGATTTGATTTGATACTTTAGAATTTATATGTTTCCACCAACGTAATGTAAAATCTGTTCCACATTGATCACATATATATGGTTCATCAATATATGCATGATCAGTAAAACGTTGTGGTAAACGGTGACGACTATTTTGTAATTCATTAAAACATTGTATAACATCTTCAAGACCAAGACATAATTGAAATTCCGAACTTGTACCATTTGGAATAAATGTAATATCTTGTAAAGATGGTTTTGGTAATGATATATTTAATAAATCACGTTCTAATTGTTTACGTAATGCTAATTTAGCTTGTGTTTTATATTCTTCAATTGAAGAATTTTTAGATGTTTTATTTGAATTTGTTAATAATGGAGAATTAGATGTTTTACGTGTTGTTATTGGTAATGATGGTTGTTGATGAGGTTTATTAATTATTGGTATTTGTACTGGTTTTATTGATGGAGTCGTAATAGATTTTTCTATCGGATGACAACCATTTGTTACTGTTTTTGTATTATTATTAGTATTATTTGTTTGTGTTAATATTTGTTGATTTGTACGCAATTTTTTTAATAGAACTAAAAAAGCTTCTTCATTTTGTAATTCTTGAATAATTGAATGAGGTTTTAAACGTTTTAATTGATGTACAGTATTATTGATAAAATTAATATTTGATTCAGGTGATAAAGGTCGTTTAAGTGACATTGAATTTAAATCTAAAAATTATCTTCAAATCAAATATTTGATACATATACATATATGTATGCATTACAAACTAATGGAAGTTTGACACAGTATGATTAATTGTAATAAAAAAAAAACATAACAGAAGAGAGTAACTGCATGACTGTACCTGTGCTGTGTTGGGAATAGATGCGGTATGTAGTACAAGAACGGTAAACGAGAAATCGACAAGAGTAAATTCAATGGGGCCGCTACCAGACATCTAAAAGGGTAAGTTACCCTTCATCTCCTTCTATCATCTCTCCAATATGGAATTTCGTTCTTTTTTTTTTTTCTTCTCTCTCTCCCTTTCTTTTGATCGTCATTGTTGGCATCTTTGCCAGACCTCGACTTTCTTATTTATTGACGACGGAAGATATTTAGTACTAGTACATTGTATAAGAAATGAAAGGAATCGAAAGAACAAGGTAACATCATAAATATTTCGATTTGAACTTGATAAAGAAAAAAAAAATTTACATGATGTACATATATCTGATAATATGAAATAAAAAGAAGAAAAGAAAGCAGTTTTGTGATGATTATAGAAAAGAAGCTAACGTTAGTATATATCTACACATAAAAACAGAAATAGACAATTAGAAGCCTAAAAAAAAAGTCATAGTCAAGTAAAAACAATAGAATATGATGACGAATGTATGAGCAGATACTATATGTAGAAATGTGGACATGATTTGTTTTCTCAAGCATTAAAAAAAAAATAATTAATAAAAGAAAGAAAAATCAATGAAATATAGATTATAAACTATTGTTATACAAATCGTTCTAAATGAAAATTAGTTCCAACAGTTACCCCTATCTTTCGACTAATTTGACTCAAAGCTTTAAGTGTATTTTATTGCCAATATATGTTTCGATAAGCATTAATGTTACTATTTCTATTAGTTATCTTAAAATCCTAAGTCCTTCTATGTACTTCAAAAGATGCCATAAACATCAATTTTTAATATAAGTATGTAAAACATTCTGATACCAATATGATCTGTTCACATAGAGAACTAAAAGTAAGTTTTATCATAACGATAGCCTTCTCATCGTTCTGAATAGATATAGAAGAAGCATGATTGTCTGATACTATGAATTGTCTAGCTCGATTACTTGCTTACAGTTTTGCGAAATGGAAAATGGATGATGATGGGATAGACGAGAAAGAACGCGAAAGAGAACATGCTGTGTCGAAATGACGACACTAACGACGCTTGTTTTAACAAAAAACGATTGACCTCTTACAGTCAACAAGAAAAAAAGGAAAGAAGAAAGACGAATATAATCATGGATACTACTCTACCAAAAATCTTCGTTTTTCTTACTTCATAATCTATCTCAAATAAGATTTTTCATCTTTTTATTCATTATTCAAAACTGAATCTACATATGTCCTTCTAAAGTTTTTCAAATAAAGAAAAACAAAAATTCTAAGTTTAGTTGAAAACCAACAAAAAAAAAACAACAAGGACAAGAAACAAATAATAACTTATCCCAAAAAAAAGTGATGAGACAAAATATATGAAATCCTTCGTACAGAGAACGGGAGAAACGAAGAAAAGGAGAGAGAAAAGAAAAAAACCTGACGATTGGAAGATCATTGATCCAGTTGCGTCTATAACAAGAACCCCTATATTTCATGTGTAGACCATTAGCGACGCTTTAGTATTCAATATAATAATAATAATAAAAGAAAAGTCAACAATATCTTTCATTTGCTGTTAATTTTGTGGACTAAGACATGTGAAAAAATACAGACTTTTCGAACGAAATATTTTTTTTTTTATTCTTTTAAAACCTAGAGAATAAAATCATCATGTCGGAACCACCTCTGCCTAGCGCTCGTCGTCAACTTTTATTTTCAAAATATGGTCCAATTTTAATTACACCATTCTATTTCGGATTTTCAACTCATGTACTTGCACCAAATTCTTTTGCTAGGTTTGACAGTTCAAAAAAAATAATAAATACTTAATTCAATGGTATTTTTTTGTTTATCTCATCAAAATAGAATTCTTGGACCTGAATTGAATGTACCAGTAGCTAACTCACTTTGGGTTGGATCTCATGTTGGCATTGGTTTATATTTATACATTTCAAAGCATTTACGAAATGCTGATATATTTGATCGTTTATTATATAGGTAATAGAAAATATACATATATATATATATAGAAGAAAATAAGATGATTTTTGCATTATTTCAATTTCACTATAGTGTTTATGGTTCAGCTATGTTCAATTTGGGAACTGTTTTAGTTATGTCAATCGTACGCTCAATTTTTCCTGATAACGATGTACTTCGTTTAGGAGTCGGTCTATCATCTAGTGCTGCCCTATTACTCATCGGCAGACGATATATGCTATATATTGATCAGATTTTCGATGCAATTCGATTTCGATCAATAACACGTTCATAAAAACCAAAACCAGAAAACTAAACATTATTTAAACCGTGTTTCAAGTACCTTGAATTTTTTTTAAAATTTGGCTTATCTTGTTTTCGTAGTGAATTAGTAAGAGATATGTAATTGTGGTCTCACACTTTTTCCTTTATTTCTGAATCTCTTATTTAACATTTAAACAAGCTAAAAGAAAAAAAAAAGAATTAAGGTCGACAATTTATACAATAATTGAATCATTCACATAAGCGATTCCATCACCAGTTATAGAAGAAGATTTCAATGGTATTGGTATATCTTCATAATTTGGCATATCACTATCATCACCACAATAAGTTGAAACCATTTCAAAAAGATATGATTGTCGAGGTAATGATTTATGAATAATTGATGGTTGTTCTTCTTCAATCGTATTCATTATACGACTTGAATTAACATGATAAGCATGACTATCATCATAATCATCTGTTGTCGTAGATAAATTTGTTGATATATGATCTTGATTCGTATTACTAGTTGTACTACTATTATTATGATCTCTTATGTCAAATAAATGATTTGGTTGACGAAGTTGTGGAAGTTTAACAAGTGTATTTGGTAATGATCTTTCACGCATAAGAAAACGAGGACCATTTGATCTTTTTAATGTTTGAGTTGAACGACGTCGTTGTCGTTGATTATGATTAAAACGACGACGACGATAACGATGAGATTTTTTATAATTTCTATCTTCACCACATGTTGATGTATCATAACCACTTGTTGTTGTATTTCCATTTGGATAATGTTTTGGAACACCATCTGGAAATGTTTCACTTGATGTCGAATGAAGATCAATAAATAAATATGATTTTAATTGTTTTGGATCAATTGTTGTTGGTTGAAATGAATCAAAATCATTTAAATAAGCATCCATGATTGATTGTTGTAAACGACGTGATGGAATCATTGATGGTAATGTACTTATGCTTTGACCAAGTGAAGAGTTTTGTTGTTGAATTTGAGTTGGATGATTATCTGAACATAAATGTCTAGATGATCGAATTGAATATGATGATGTAGATGATGGAGTTATTGATGAAGCTAAATGTGTTTGATCATTTGATTGTTGATCATTTAAAACTTGTCGAAATTTATTTTGAATTTTATGACGATTTTTCGAACGTTTTCGATGAGAATAATGTCGATAACAAAGAATTGTAATGGCAATAATAATAGCAACTAAAAGAAAAGCAATAATACATATTAAAGCAATAAATGATGGTTGAGAAGCATTGAATGATGATGATGATGAAGAATTGTCTTGAAGTATTTGTCGTCCATAACGTGATTGAGAATTAGCTAAAATATTGAAGTTTTATTATTAATAATAAAATATTTTGAATTCTATTTACTTCGAAAAACATAATCAATTATAAATGATGTTTGTTGTAGATTTTTATGATCAAGAGGCATTAATTCAAATAAAATACCAGAATTTTTCTCATTAACATCAAATTGAATCTCATTATTTACAAATGTAGCATTTGTTGAATCATATATAAGTGTTTTTTGCTTATTTATAATTGAATAAATTTTAAATATAAATAAATTTGAAAGTAATTGAGTTATATTAATAAAACGAATGAATAATTTATAACCATAATCATAGAAAAAAAACCATTGTCGAGGTTTTATACATGAAAAACTATCATTAGTATTAATTGTTAATGAACCATAAAGATTATTAACTAATACTGGTTGACAATGATCGAACATTTTACTTCTTTTAAATGTATGTCTAAGTATAAAAATGGATTGATGATTGTTTGAAAAAAAAAAGACATTCAACAAAGAGAGACAACTATAAACTTATTCTTGTTTATGTGGGATTTCTGTTATTGCAATAAGAAGAGAGTAAGACTAATCGAAATGACTGTGCTCGGGAGAGAAAAAGAAAGAGAAACAGTATGAATTATTTTTCATTTGATTTTTGAACAATATTTAACTTAGATTATTTCTCTAGAACAAGTTTATAAATAGAAAAAAAAACCTACAAAGAAAAATATACGAGAGAATAGTATTGATATGATTGTTTAACAAGAAAAATTACTTATCAGAAAAATAAATAAACAATAAATTTACCTTGCAATACAAGTTAATCAATAAATAACTTTGCTAGTTGAAGGAGAGAAAAAAAAAAGAAAGAGTTACAATTGCGATGTCATGTTTACATTTTAGAATAATGTATTGAAGAAGAGAGAGAGGAAAAAAAATCATAAAAAAAGAGTAACGTATGTATTTGGCGTGACTGCATCGACAAACATACAGCAAGTATCGGAAGAGAAAAAGAAATCCAATAAAGAAGCCTTTATAAAGCATTTTTGTTGAATGTTCAACCTTGTCAAGAAACAAATAATTTCCTCTGGTCAACTCATAGTACATTGAATAGAAATAACAAAAAAAAAAAAGTAGAAGTCTTCCGATATTATCTAATACACATATTGAGTTCACAAGAACAATAGAATATAGGCTATCAAACATTTCATACAGAGCGGTATTTCTTTTCTTCTTCTCTCACGATATCATCTTAACAATTCATTCAATGCTTATACTAGTTGATATAAATCAAACAGCACGAGTACGTACACAACATTACATATACAATGATTATGACTGGTTTGTTGAGTGGAAATAGTTGAACAGGTTAGCGATGGGCTTCATCTCAATTTCAATTGATGAATGTTGGTATGTATATACAATGGACACAGCAGGTATACATAGATAGGGTTTCATTCCCATCTGAAAAGAAAACAAAGTTCAATACTTTTATTGAACGAAAATTCAATAGTACATGTTCATTGTATTATTTTTCATTTATTCTTTAAGAAGAAAAAGAAAATTATTTTGAAAGCCTATCTTTCCAATAAAAAGAAATAAGTAATTGAATGAAATAACATTAAATGAGAAGAAGTTATGATCAAATATTACAACATGTAGAATGGAATTAAAGTTTAATGAATATAAGATGGATTTATCATAGTGAGTCTTATAGTATTAAAACATTTGTTCACAAGGTTAGACCAGAGACAAACTAAAATCTTATAACCGAAGCATTCATGTATCATTCAAAAGATCAATTTTATGTATGATAACTGTTATATAACAGATGAAACAGTATTTTTTAGTTCTTAGATCATTTAGTCTTCTATAATTTTATTTCCTATCTTAGGCTCTACTTTTTATTCAATTTCTTTAAACAGAAATCTCTGAGTATTGAATAATTTCAATCGATAATTAATTTCAAAGAAATAGAAATTACGAGAATTAATACATAGCGAACTCTATCGAATGTTGTTCATTGGTTATCTGTAATATATTCGTATTCAGCTGTTCTATACTGTCACCATTCATAATTGTTACAATAGTACAAACATAAATCTATTATTATTACATTTCATTTATCTGTATGCTTTGATGGGATGGCATATCATTTTTCGTCAACGACCCATATCTGTGGTCTTGATCAAAAATCGAACTTTATTCGGAATCCATGCACCAAAACCTAAATTTCCTTTTGGAGCAGCAAATAAAACACAACAATATGCCGAACAACGTTTACTAGGGTAATATTTTTATAAATAATAAAAAAAATTCTCTAAATCTTTTCTCTTTGTATACTTATGTAGTTATACATCCGCCGAGATGTACACTGTGGTTGTTGACGTAGCAAGATATCGTGAATTTGTTCCTTGGTGTATTCGATCAGATATACTTAAACCAGTATATCCAAATATGTTTAAATCAAATATGGAAATTGGTTTTCAAGTCGTTAAAGAACAATATACAGCATTAGTCACTCATCAAAAACCGACACTAGTTAAAGTATGATTTGTTTGACTTCTATTTTAATTTAAATATGGTTTGGTTTTTTCAGTCTGTTTGTACTGATGGTCGTTTATTTAATTATTTAATAACAGAATGGCGATTTTTACCCGGTATTGACACAGAACCTCGATCATGTACTCTCGATTTTTTTGTATGTTTTTATTTTGTATTTTACAATGAAAGAGAATTTTGCGAGTTGAACAAGAGAATGTTTCAAAACGATATATTGTTTTTGGGACTAAGAACTATTTGCATCATGTAAGTCTTGATAAGCTTTGCATATCCTGAAAAGAGCTTATGTCATGAGCTTACATAACGCATTTTTACGGTATTTTTTATCACAAAATCGTCGTTTCTCTCAGAAACACTAGGAAAACTGAATTTCCACTTAAGTATTGCATATAGACAGGTCTCAACGAGAATAGTTTATTGTGAAAGTTTCAGATCTTTTCTTTGTTTCTATTCTAAGATGCAATTATAGTAAAATACATTGACAAATCCCTATATTCTTATTTCAGAATCGGTGCAATCAAATGATCTGAAACTTCATAAAAAACTATTCTCTTTGAGGCTTGTGTCTATGTGAAATTTCAATAGAAAGTTGAAAAATCAGTTTTCCTAGTGTTTCTGAGAAGTCTACGGCACTATACTAAAAAATATCGTAAGAATATAGTATTACATGACTGCAATAGACAAACAGCACGAAATCTCATCAAGGTATTCATGGTTCATTAGGACCTACATGGTGCATATTATCATGATGACTAAAAATTGATTTATCAGCGGGAGATCTTCTTTCATAAGCGAGACATATCTATAATAATGTTATTCTAGTAGTGAGATGGAAAGAAGACATTCTAATGATATTGTTTAGTAACATTTTTTGAGTAGAATTATGGAAAAAAAAAGAATTCCAACTACTTCATTATTTTTTCTTCAAATTATACACGGCTATATTTAAGTCGTGAGATAATTCTTAGAATACTTACCTTATCTTTCAGGACGATTTCATATAGAAATACTTTTCGATCAAGCGTAATTTAAAATCAATCTGTTGTACAAGATTAAGCTCTTAATTTAAGTACATTGAAAAATTTTGTATTTTTACATACTAATAAATACATATTATGCATGATAGTTACTATTGTTTCACTATATAGTGAACAGTAACTAAGACAGAATCATTACTAGTAGTACAGTTTTTATTGAAAAAATACTTCATGTTTTATGTCCTTGTTTTGGAAACGTATGCAACATACTTCGAAAAAGTTCGTTTTTCAGAAGGTATGCAATAAATTACATACAGTTATTTACCTGTTGATCTTTTCTTAGCAGTATGTAATTTAACGATATCGGAAATTTCCATTGACAGAATCTTGATAAAATGGTTATTTCTTTTTGAAAATTTTTAGGTCTCATTTGAATTTCGATCAATGTTACATGCTACATTAGCACATATGTTTTTCGATGAAGTTGTTCGTCAAATGGTATCTGCTTTTCTTAAACGTGCTGAAAAACTTTATGGACCACCATCAATGCCATCAAAACGTCTTCGATAAATTGTTGTTTTCTTTTTCTGAAAATTTATTTTTAAATTAGTATTTAGCTTTTTTTTTCTATTTTTTTCGTGTCTATAAAGATTATTAAAATATATTATTTTTAGATATCAATTCTTTTCTTGTTATTAATATTCATTACAAATCGTTATTGTTTAAAGACATATTAAATTATATAAAATTTTGGCTTCAGTTTGAAAACATTTTCAATCTCTTAGACTACTTATCAACGACACCAAAAATAGAAAACTGTCTTGAATCCTTCATTATATTGAAAAGTGACATTATTCGATTTAGTAGTATAATGAAGTTGTATGGGATAGAAATCTAAAGCTGATACGAACAATTTGTTCAAATTCGAATAAAGTTTTTAGAGTTTGAAAATTTGACTAAAAATGTTTTTTTTTTGCTTCAGAGTTTTTCAATGTTGATACATACCATTGATTAGAAAAGTATTTCGTCGATAAATATGTGGCTCCGAATTTCTTTGAGTTTTATCTGTAATATTTATAAATATAAATACGGAGGTCAAAGTACAATGGTCTTCAATTGAAACAATTAAAGGATATAGGTAATACGAAGTTAAATACTTCCATCATAATTGATTTATTTTGTGTTGCCGTCTATGTATTTTATTTTGTTTCACAAAACTTTAATAAATCTACAACATTCTATATTATTCAATAGCTGGAATGAAGCTCTAAAAAGTTCTATATATAACATTGTCACTTGATCTTTTAATTCAGGTTAGAATCAGGATAGAACAACAATTATAAGTTAAAAGATACTCTAGAACTTTGTTTTTATATAAATAAAATGAAGACCGTCTTAGTGACTGATAATATCGAGTATGATTTAACCAATATGTACTGTCTTGACGAAAATGTTGATGATAACCATATAGATCGTTAGTGTATTTTTAGTCATAGATCGACAAGAAAACATGAAATTCGAAATTCAATACTAGATTCATAAGCAATGAGGCAGTTAAATTCGACTATGCATCATCAAAATTTGTAAAGAAAAACTTATAGAACTTCCGATTCACATACTTATCGATATATGGCTTTGCCAATAAATCACATACATCAACATCGAAATACATTAAATAAAAGAGAATTTTTGATCAAATTAATCGGTTTTTCAAACTCTAGAAACTTCACACGAATTCATTATGATATCATATTGAGTAAAATCTCGCTTTTCAATAAAATCAAGTATCCATGACAGTTCTTTATTGTTGTCTTGTCAATGAATAGTTTAAACATACATTAGATTGAAGCATTTTTTAATACTGAAGTCAAAATTTAATATGATTTAATGTATGTTTTTACGTGAAGTCTAAGGAGGCTCCTACATTTTATTTTTGATCGTTTTTTAGTAAAATGAACAATAAAAAACAATTCGGTGAAATTCTGCTAGAACAATGAGTTTTTCAATTGTTTTTTTAGTTTTGAATTGCTTAGGTTAATTCCAATCTATTTTCCTGAAAACAAAATGGTTTAGAAGAAAGCTTCTTCTTATTAAAATGCTTTGAAATAACAGCTGCACATCAAAAACGCTAAAGATTTTATCAAAATCGGTGATTATTGTTCGATGTGTCATTTTGAAATATGAAATGATCTTATAAAATCAACACAAACAAATCAATAGATAGTATCAAATTTAACATTTCATGTATTCTAGACTTGATTTTCACGATAATTGAATTGTATTTTTGAATTGAAAGTACATAGGTTTTAAAAATGATTGTAATCGGGTATGCAAAACATCATAGTAATAGAAAATACTCAGAACATATACAACCAATTTGACTTCATTATGTATATTAATAAAAATAGAAATTAACTATGAATCATCATATATCATTTCATCGTTTCATGTTGTTCACTTCGTAAAAATCCAATAAACGGAATGTATTAAGGAAAACATATCTAAACTTCTTCACAAAACGGAATTTCAGCTTAAAGATGATAATTTTTTGACATAATAGACGCTTACTATGTCCAACGTGAGTACAAAACAACTAATCTAAGAAATTGGATAGATTAGCTCATTACTTCAAATAATTTAATTATACAGTTTAGTAGTGTGAGATAGCTAAATATTTGATTGTTATAATACTCGTAAGATCTGAACTATCCATCTTTTAAAACTGAGAGATTCTTATTTCATAATCAAAGGTTTACTTTAGGCTTTTGTGAAGATAATTAAAATGTCTTCTTTTATTTTTGTATTGGGTACAAGCATTTTCTTTGCTAACATATTGTATTAACTATTACTGTTCGTATTCATACCAAGATCCATCGAGTAGTGGCGACAGATGAGTAATGTGAATGTGAAAAATACTGTAAAACACTCATTATTTTGTCTACTTAATGACATCGAGGCAGAACTGGCAACCAATCTGTTATTTTACAGGAACTATTATAGATATTCTGAAATCAGTCATATAATTTGAAAATTTCGATTTATTCATTGTGAAACACTTCTATACTTCTAAGTATAGCTCATTGCAAAACAAAATTTGGTATAGTAAAAGCCTACTAGGCTACTCTTCTGTGAAGGGTTTAATTAAAAAAAAAGAATTCATCACAAAATAATTTTTGATTCACATGTATGTAGATCGATTACGTATTCATGCATAAATTTATATTTTAAAAGAAATTTTTATTACCAATTGGGATTTTTTTTCGGATCTATTTACATACAATCAAAACAAAAACCTGTTTTCTGATGATTATGACAAAAATTCTTCTGAAATAAATTACAATTTGCAATTATCAAGGAAATAAAAATAATCTTTGTTTTTAAACAAGTGACGAAATATTCTTTTTTGATAAATACCTTAGAAATTTCGAGATTCATGTGAATAAACATGTTTTCGTATTTCTTATCGTAATCCAAATAGAACTTGCGTATTCTACGACATAAAGTTCTTTTATTTTTTCATTCTGCTAAAAAAGGTCATATTAAGGTTATTTTTTTTTCATAATATAAGAAAAGTATGACAAAGAAAAAAACAACCTAGACGAAATAAATAAATACAAACGTTTGTCATAACTACTATTGCATTTTTCTTTTGTGACAAAAATAAGTAGAGTAGAAAAGATGGACACGACTTTTACAGCTTTTCGAGCAATGTTCTACTTACTTTTACCATCTGAAACATATTATGAACAACTTGCAGATGTTCCAGATTATGTTGTCAAAGTAAATAAAATTAAAAGGAAGTTTTTTTTTAAAAACTTTTCAACTATTTCAGGTTATTCAACTTTTCTTTGTTTTACAAGCATTAGAGCTCGTTACTTCTATTTATCGAGGAAAGAAATTACCACGTTTTAATGACGTATTCAGTTCAGTGGCAGCTGGTATTATTTCACGTATACCGCGGTATGAAAATATATATATATATATTGCTAAATATTCCTTTTTCTTTTCTATTAATTAAGACTATTTTTTCGATCAATTGAATTGTCAACATATATATGGGTATATGAAAACGTTCGTATTTTTCCACGATTACCGTGGAATTCACCAATAACATATTGGGTTACATTTCTTGGAGTAGATCTTGGATATTATTGGCTTCATCGTATGGCACATGGTAAATTAATAAACAGTTCTTATCTTTTATTGAAATTTTTATTTAGAGGTCAATCTTTTTTGGGCTTCACATCAAGCACATCATTCATCGGAAGATTATAATTTATCAACAGCACTTCGACAAGGTGTTATGCAAGCGTATGCTTCATGGATATTTTATTTGCCACTAGCTTTATTTGTTCCACCTCCAATATTTTTAATTCATACACAAATGAATTTATTGTATCAATTTTGGATTCATACTGAAGCCATATCAAATCTTGGCCCATTTGAATATATACTAAATACTCCAAGTCATCATCGTGTTCATCATGGAAGAAATCCATATTGTATTGATAAAAATTATGCTGGAGTTTTTATTATATGGGATCGTTTATTTGGTACATTTGCTGCTGAACGTAAAGATGAACAAATAGCTTATGGTCTTATACATCCAATAAAAACATTTGATCCATTAGAAACACAAGTAATTTAAAAATTGATTTGATAAGAATACAGTTGTATTTTTTTTTACTATTTTAATAGTTTGTCCATCTAAAATATATGTTTAAACAATTTTTACAACGTCAAGGATGGCAAAATAAATTATCTGTTATTTGGAAAGGTCCAGGATGGGCACCAGGTTTACCTCGATTAGGTAGTGATAAGTTCCCAAAAGTAAAACATCCTATTCGTGTTTATCATCCAAATGTATCAACAGCATTATCATTATATACGTTTATACATTTTGCATATGTTTTAATACAATATAGTGCAGTACTTAAATATTCAAAAGTAAATTAAATGTTGAAATATTTTAATATTTATTCATTTATTTATTTATGTTCGTTTTTTTTTAGAATTATTCAGTTGTAGCATTATTGCTTTATTCAATTATTTTAATTTATACTTTACAAACATTTGGTGCTATTTTTGATCAAAAGTAAATTATTTTTCTTGTTTTATTTTGATTAATTGTTGTCTTTTCTTTCTTATAGGAAAAATGCACTTCATTATGAACGATTTCGACTTATTTTAATGTTACTTCTACCCAGATTAACTTTAATCAAATCACTTTTTCTTCTTCAAACACATCTAATCATTCAAATAGCCATTGTTTTATCCATTTTTGCTACATTTTTCGTTCCGCAGGTTTCTACTTTGACAAAAAATGTTCCTCTAAAAAAAGAATAAATATTGATATATTTGTATCATATTAAAGTTATTGTTAAAATAGAGTGATGTGACAAATAGATTTGAATAATATTTTCTTTATTAAAACAAATAAGTAAAATTTTTATATATTTATTAATATATTGTAGCTATATCTACTATCAAGTTAAACAGATCAGTTTATAATTGCATATTTATTATTTTTCCATCAGCAAAAAAAACTTTTTAAATGATTGAATTAACCAATAATAACAAAGATAAGGAAAACAATTGAGCTGAAAAAAAAATTAATTATATCATCTTGTACTGTATAAAAAAAATGAAAGGAAAGATTGTATTTGAATAAAACAATCATATAACAACGTTAAGCTAGTCTATTAAGTCCAACAGCAATATCTGTACGTTTCATAGCTGATATTGCATCCTTTTCGAGAACCAGAAATGCCTGAAAAGAAGGAGGATGAATCTTAACTTACAAACTAATTTAGTTGCTAACTTAAGTTAGTTATAATCTTGTTATATCACTATAATTACTAAGTAGAGGTAGAAATCAATACACATAATATACAAATGTTTCTACTACTTTACATATTATCTTAGAATATCGAGAAAGTACAGATTGTTGAATTTCAGTGAAATAGTTTTGAAGAAAGTATCTACTGACTTCTTAAATAGATAATGATTATCAATGTTATATTTTTCGTTATGGTAGAAGTTAATTTTTTGCTAGATTCTATATTTTGTCGAAAATAAATGAGTGATACATTTATTTTCTATGAAATTCATGACGTTGTTTTATTTTCAATAACTTTACAAAAATTAACAGAACTAATAATAACTACTATTGATATAAACGAATAATTTTCAAATCAAAACAATCGTTCAAAACATTGTATCAACATTATCTTGAGTATTCATTGTGCTATATTCATCAATAAACATAGATAGAAATATAAATTATAAAATTCTGTTTGTATTTTACTTCATTAAAATAGGTAGATGAATTGGTGAAGTGTTTCTTTGTTTTTGTAGTTGAAAACTAATTTTGTATGTTATGAATCTATCCATTATTATAAACTAATATATATATATAAAATAATAGTGATTTTAAACTCATCTACATTCGTGTTACAAGTATCGATGCACAATCTCTAATATTATTTTTTTTTAAATTTTGGATATTGATGCTAAGCAATGATGTGTGACGATTTATATGTGTAACGTCATAAAATAAAAGCAGAAGAAAAACATTTTTTGATACATTCATAGATACGTGCATATTTATTTATATAGCCATATTATTTTATGCCCGCGATAGCAAAAAATTGTTCACATTGTGCAAGAAAAGTTCTATGAAATAGTTTCTATTATATAGAAATTTATCTTATTCGATTTATATGTATTTTATATTCATAACTGCATGTTAAATTAATGGATGAATAATTTGATTTTCGAGTTCTGTTACTTAAACTTCAAGGTTATTTATCAGATAATGATCGAAGACGTCTTCATTTTATTGTTGGTGATACTATACCAAGACATTTACGTGATGATCCAACACTTGGTGGTACACTTAGTCTTCTTGAATCACTTTTTGATCAAGCAAAAATTAGTGAACAAGATTTTGATTATTTAATTCGTGCATTCAATGAAAAACATTGTTATGAAGGTGTTAAACGACTTCAAGGTATCTTAATTTATTTTTAGTTCTTTTACAATATTAGTTTTAGAATATCAATTGAGAAAACAAAGTCGTAATCGAAATGAAACCAACATTTTGACAAACATTGAAATTAACGAAGAAAATAGAATCAGTGTGATTCGTTTGTTTATAGAAATGTTATTAATAGTTTTCAGGTTAATATAGATATTTTAGAAGATTTCTCAACCTTTATATCAGCTGATACTTTCGAACAGCATGGTTCAACATTAACTCAATGTGTATCAATATCATTTGATAAAGAGAATAGTAGTATAGACAAAGTACAAATGCCAATCAATGCTATCAAATCTAAAAAAAACTCCTAAACTTTGATTTAGCATTCATAAAACAAATACAGAAGTTACGATTAACAACATGTCAAATTTTACTCTTAATTTTAAATATTTTGGGTATTTTAAGTTTTGTACTAGTAATTATTCTTCTACGAAAACAACATTGTACTATGAACTACATAGACTCCGAAAGTAATTGTATGATTTTATTTATTGATAATTTATTATTTTCATTTAGATGTTCTTATAATTAGAGAAGGTATGTTATATGGTGAAAGCCTTGGTGGTGATCAATTTGATGATACAATTGCTAATTCATTGACTTTAAATGAGAAATTGATGAGTCTTATTGCAACATGGTCCTTTGATACACTTAATTCAATCACATTCATCTATTCAAATGGTAAAAAAATCACAACATGGTACTGGTGATGCCGTACGAGTTTCATTATATTCTAGTCAATTTAATTTAATGACTGAAGAAAATTTTATTGGTGTTACTATTTATAGATACTTACGTGATATAATGAATCCATATAGACCAAATGGGACTGTGATTATTGTTGGTTTACGTTTTTTGACAAATAAAGGTCGACAAAGTGAATTATTTGGTTCATCAAATGGTACTAAAAAATGATGAATTATTTTCTGATTATACATTAGCTTATGTTCGAGGTCAATCTTATGCATTTATTGATGCACTTCAATTTATTTGGTATAAACAATTGATACAAATTAGAACAGCAATAATAGGAGAAAACTTGAATTGATTTATTTTATCTATAAAGATAAATTGTTTAAAATTTTTTCTAACAAATCATTTGTTTTATAATAGATTAGGTTTCTTTCAATAGAAAAGTTATTTGTGTCATACTCATGACGATTGAACTATTAGTCTTATAAAAGACAAGATTGACCAATATATGTTTCAGTTTATGAATTTCTACGCATTGTTACTGCATGTCGATGATGAAAGATATTATAGACCATGTTTCATAAAATGCTAAAATATACACCTAATATCGATATGAAATATTATTCAACATTTGTTGTATAAATGGTCACATTTAAAACGTTATAGTTCGAAATGTGTAAATAACCAAACTACGTTGACTATTCGAAGAAAGAAAAAAAGCTTTTCAATACATCATGAAGAATGATATATTTAGAACGTCATTAGTTCATGTATTGATATGTATCATACAAATTTGTTTTCACATATACTTTACTTCGAAAAAAATTGCAAAGGAAACTAATTAATTATTCAGTATATAGTGTTATTAAATACGACATTCACCTCCACAAAATTTGTTTCCTTCCATGAGTAATGAAGTATGACGTTCTTTTATTATCGTAATAAAATATATTTATAAATGAGTGTATATCATTATTTACTTTAGGTATTTGAGAGTAAAGTTCTATTATTAAACGGAGTTTTTTTTTAGGTCTGTGCTACCTCAAGTTTCTATATAAGTAGGTTATTTTTCAATGAAAATAAAAATTTCGACTAAAATATACGTCCTTGTAATAAAAATCATTCTAGTTATTGAAAGCAAAACAATTTTTTTAAAAAGTATCTCAATCGTCTATTATAATAGATGGATGAACAATTTGATTTTCGAGTTCTATTACTTAAACTTCAAGATTATTTATCAGATAATGATCGAAGACGTCTTCATTTTATTGTTGGTGATACTATACCAAGACATTTACGTGATGATCCAACACTTGGTGGTACACTTAGTCTTCTTGAATCACTTTTTGATCAAGCAAAAATTAGTGAACAAGATTTTGATTATTTAATTCGTGCATTCAATGAAATACATTGTTATAAAGCAGTTGAACGACTCAAAGGTCTGTTGTTTTTTTTTTGTTTTGACAAACTAATATTAATTCATTTATGTTTATATTATAGAACATCAATTAGCTCAACATCGACGAAATCAAAATGAAACTACTACAAAAAACTTGTCAGATCTATTCGATGATAATGAAGAGGATAAAATTTCTTATAATAGTAAGATGTTTTCACGGCACATTATAAATCAGTTTTTACATTAATAAAAATATTCTAGAAAATTTATCCAATTTTATGTTATCAAATAGTTCACAAGAACGTGATTCTAAAACGAGTCAAGCAACAACGACATCACTCAATGAAAATAATATGAATAAAGACAAATTACCTCTAACAAAAACAGAAGTTCAATTTGAAAAAAAACGATTTAAGATAGATTTGAAATTTTTAAAACAAACACTTAAATCACGATTAACCATCTGTCAAATTATTTTATTTCTTTTAAATATTGTCTGTATTTTAATTGTAATATTACTTATTGTATTTTTAACAAAATCCAAGCGTTCGATTTCAGGTATATTTCCTACAAAAGAAAAAGGAAAAATAATTATTTGTCTTTTTTTATCCATAGATATTTTATTGATTAAAACAGGTAATTTCTATGGGAATATAGCAGGTGGAATTGAATTTAATGATGGTCAAGATTGTCAATTAACTTTTAATGATAAAATAGTAAATATTACTGCTGGTTGGACAACTGATACTCTTGACTATGTCAGTTTTCGTTATTCAAATAAAAGATCTATGCAACATGGTCGTCAAACATATCGTTATTCACCATACATGTCTGAATTTGTTTTAAATCCTGAAGAAAGTATTAACGGTATAACAATTTATACAGGTACACGTCTTATTGATAATCCTTTTGCACCGAATGGTACATATCTTGTTGTTGGTATACGTTTTTATACAAATAAAGGACGATCAAGTGAACTATTTGGTTCATCTAATGGAACACAAATGGATGAAGCTTTTTCAAATTTTACAATCGCTTATGTTCGAGGTCAAGCACTTGGATATGTCGATGGAGTACAATTTATTTGGTATAGACAAATTTCATCATTGAATGTAGCAATTTTACCAACGTATTAATTATTTATAACTTTATATACATATATATATATAAATAGCGAGAAAAACATTAAATATCAATTTTTAAATGATTAGTATGTAGAATAAATATTTGTACAGATACTGACATTACGTATACATTTCTTCTCGTATATCGTATTAAAAATTTTTTTGAAATTTTTATTTTATTGAAATTTGAGAAAAACTTCAGAAAGATTTTCTACTCAAATCTGTATGTAAAATTTATCATGAGCCAGTAAACAAAATACAGAAATATTAAGAATATGATCAAAACATGAATTTTTCTGAACTATCTGATTTATCTCTATTCGGTTTGCTCTTGTGTTATTTAAGATCGGAATAAAATCAATCTAGTAAGAGGTACACATGTTTCAAGTTTGTATACGTGTGTCAATAGCGACGAAAATTCTTCTATACACAACTACAAGGTGTGAATTGTTCAGTGATGTATTTTTTTAGCCTTACACTGTAGTCTTTTGATTGATTCTGTATCAATGTTCGAAAATTGCAGATGGTTAAGGAACAAACCACAATTCAAAAGCTAATTTGATGTCATCAATGTACCTGTCTAAAAATATGAAACGTAACATTGATGAATTTTTCAATCCTTTAGACATTGTCTATTCTGCACAGGCAACTAGACTACATTAATCTATGATCACGTATGCATGAATCGTCAAATCAATGTCAAAATAAGAATTCATTGATGCATTAAGAATGAAATGAGACTCATTCTGTAAAGTTGACATGAACAGCATATGAATTACATTAATGCTATTGATTATTGATGACAATAAATTTTTCTGATTAACTACGACAAATGACTTGATTTCAGTTGTATCTCATGTATGCACTGTTCGTAAGTAAAATCTCTTGTAATATTGTTCAAGCATTGCTGTGGTTGCGCCTGCACTTGTGTGAAACTAACTTTTTCTAAAAAAACAAAACTCAGTGCATTGTAATAGTCTCCGAAAAATGAATTGTTTTTTCGAATTTTTCCCAAGAGAGTCGTAATGGAAATCATGGTCATAATTAGCATATTGGGCAATAAGAACACAATGAACATCATGAAGGTGATGGCTGCGATTGCCGTAATAGACACTTTGCTTCCAGGTCTACGACATTGATGAAACGCCTCAAATGATGCGTCTTGTATGTGTGTTTCGCTTTCATCAACAGTTCATTAAATAGCTTTTGAGAATTGCTCAAGAAACTCTAAAATATATTCTAGCATACGAGATATATCAGATATGGGAGATATTAGAAATAGATTCGTATATCCTCAATAGCTTTATATCTGTACACCTAGATTTGGATGAGGGTCACGGCTAAAAATGAATCAATTTTTCATAGTGCAGCTCGATCCAAAGTAGAAAAGTGTCAAATGACTTACACCTAGAGCAATGGAATGAATATTTATAACCATTTTAATAACTTAGGAACATTCTCAATGGATTTGAATAAAGTGTCTCATTAATAGTTACATTTTATTATTGTTCAAAGTTTCTTTTTTCTTTAGATATAAAGAAACAAAATTTCAAAATGATTCAAAAAGTTCTTAAAATACTTTCGAAGAAAATTTTTTCGAGCGAAATTGTTAATGAGAAATTTTCAGAATTATCTTGTAACTGTCTGAAAACTTAATAAAATGAACATAAATCATAGACTCGTAAAAATATATTTCTAATCACATAAATCCTTTCTATTCATCAATTTTGGCAAGTGTTTAGCACCTGTTGCAAATTTATATATCTTTGAACTGTCTTCTGTGTTCATAAAGCCTTTTATGGGCGTATGAACAGAATAAACTATTAAGTGAAGGGTTTTATTATCCTACACGTTCTTTTAACAGCATAGGACCGAATAATGTGAAAACAGATGAGCTCTTTTCTCTTGCAATCATTGAAATGTTCAAGTAATACAATTAACATTTTCTTACACTGTTCTTTTAGATAAATCAACTATTTGATAGTCAATCTTTCTCACTTAAACTACAAGAAGCTTTATGTGAGGTTGATTCTCTCATTAACATTCCTCGTCCATTGCTTGATGATCATGAGTTTGATAATTCATTTAATCATCTTGACTTATATTTAGACAAGGAGAAAACTCTATAAGAATGTGAACGAGCAGTTGAAATCAATCCAATAAAAAAAATAAATTCATATTTCTCGAGTCACAAAATGGACATTATTGAAGATAAAATCAAGGACATCAAACATATATAATTCATTCTTTTTATAACCTCGTTAATATTTAACTTTTGTTTTTTCTTTAGCAAAGAGGCTACTTATCGTATTAAATGAGCATAATATATTAAAAGCATCATTGAGTAGAAACGGGAAAAAAACTCTTAAGAAATCTTAAAGTCTAAAATCATGAATTAATAAAATTTATCAACCAAGATTTTAAAAAAAAAACATGATATCATCATGCTTATTCTGAATATCAATTTCTTAGATGAATCATCTCAAGAAGTATTGGTTGATGTTTAAGATTAGGTTATTCAGAAACGTCAATAAAAATTTTTTTTTTCTTTTATCATAGAAGTAATTGTTAAGAAAAGAAGAGATTGTTTGAATGATTCTGGAGATGAAGAAGTATGTTATAATGTTGAGACTTCTACATTCATCTTTAATAATAATGTTACTCCTACGAGAGCTTTGTAATTATTTGACGCAAGTGGT